CAGAGCTACACTGGAAAAGAAGATTTTGGAGTCTATTAAGCCTTCGGCTTTCTATAAACTTCTAAACTCGAGGTTAAAAGATAAATCTCATATCAAACTCTCAGTACTTGATACAGGAGTAGCCTTCACCGATAAAGAATAAGTTGATGCAATTGCTGAACACTTCGCTAGCGTGGAATTTAAATAATATAAATGGTATCCCAACTATGAAAATTCTAAACCGCTTTCCACTGATGCCTCCTAGTTTATGGTAACACCAGTTGGGCTATGCACACTAACGCGTGCACCATGCCATGCCCACTACCGCTTGCCAGCGACTTGTTAAAGGACCAATATAAACAGTACCGGTTGACTTCATCTTTCAACCGGTGCCCTATAAACCACAATCATTCTAAGACTGAAATCGTCACAGAATACCTCTGCGCAAAGTATGTCAAATGACTCCGCTACTGAATCGGCAAGTACCGAAATTAGCGAAAGTCTACATTGAGCTAGAAGGATAACACCACCACCATCATAACCGGTGCCCTATAAAACTTAATCATTCTAAGACTGGAATCGTCACAGAATACCTCTGCGCAAAGTATGTCAAATGACTCCGCTAATGAATCGGCAAATACCGAAATTAGCGAAAGTCTACATTGAGCTAGAAGAATAACACCACCACCACTTTTCTGGGATCACATCTAACTACTAGGGGTCCACAACCGTACCAAGTAATCCTGCTAAAGTGTGATTTGCTTTTGGCCGTGTCTTCGGAAATGCAAAAATGTTGTTGTTTTCGCTAGCAGAATCTTTGAGAACACCTGGTTTCTAGAGACTAATCTCACATTGGCATAGAGACACGCGAGCGGCCCAAGATACCAAGGAAAACTTCTCAGCTTCCCTAGATGCTATTGGAGTCCTACTACCAATCCTACCAACATAACTAGGAAATGCCGGTTAAAACACTATTGGCAGGTGGTGTACCTTGCCCATACTTAGTCGTGGGGCTACGTTCCTCACGTTACGCCTCCTCTGCTCTGGAGTCGAGAACACTTTTAAATAATAGGTTCCCTTTCCAATGCGATAGGGGAGCCGTGAGGCCTTTTTCACCGCCAGTCGTTGGAAAACTCGTGATGGTAGCACACTCTTTAACAGCCTATCCTTGCCTATTAGAGGCCTGCCTAGACGGGATACACACATGGGGTTACATTCAATGCCAAGGAAGTCCACAATATTACATATACTAGCATAATCGTATGAAAGGCGTTCCCTTGTACTTTGACTTTTCTCTTCAGGTAGGCCACCGCCACTAATCACAATAGATCGGAGTCTCCTCACTTTCTGGTAGGGTAACCCTGCTTCAGTAGAAGCAGGAACACTATGTACACCGTTCGACCCCAATCCTATGACGTATTGTCAAGGCCAGTAACAGATGGCGACTCACGAGGCGCTAACTTGCAAACACAATCTAATTCTTGCCTCAGCTCAATATTCTCCAAGTGAAATTTGACTGAAATTCACGTGTGATCGCAGTTGCCTAAATGTTTGCAAGGCGTAGGTTTCGTCTCTGCGGGGGGCGAATTCACGTTCTTTCTAAGTGCAGACAAGAGTTTACACTCTTTTCCACTCGGCCATCCCTGCCTCAAAAAATATGAGTTGCCGTCAGGGAGTATTTCGAAGATATGTATATATATGCATGCATGATGCCTTGATGTTGTTCGGACAGCAGAACGACATTGCCAAGGGCCAAACAGACATAGTGCAAGCAGCGCTGCCTGAATCGTGACTTACAAGGACATTCAGTGGTCTTGATGGAGTGAGTCCCTCCACTTCTAGACTTGAATGCCTAAAATGATGCCGCACTTGGTACAATATAATAGTCATCCTGATTTTCAAAATCCTGCCTGTGTCTTCCTGAGTGTACCTTTTGGCAGAATTTCCCCTCCACTAGATTTCTGGCGTCACAAAATGTACCTGACATGCGAAAGCCTAAAGCTGAGTTTGGCTAAACCTGTAGCCGTAGTAGTTCTGTGGCATTGTCCGAAATAACGTCCAGTAATGCTTGCGCTAAGTTGTCCAATGACGAGTTCGGAGCTTTGTTCTAGTAGGAGTATTCTAATTGGCGATGAAAATGCTCATTGAACATGTCCGTTTCATAAGACGGCTAGACCACCTCGCATTCCAGGTTTCCTTCTTAGAAACTAAGTAGGTCGAGAAGTATTCCTCGAAGACACCGGCCGCTTGCGCTACGATAGCCATCTTTGCCATTCAGGCTTGTTGGCCACCGTGAAAAGAGACAAGTGAGTAGCGTGAATGTCATTGTTCTTTCTGCTCCTCTCTGAGAACAACTCCATTGACTTGTTCAAATACTGTGTACTGGGTGTGCCATTGTAAGGTTTGCGGTGGTTTGGTAAATATCTTGCTTGAATCGAACAGAGCAGTGAAATAACAGCTTTATCTTATAGCACACAATACAATTAAGGCAAGAGATCTTCACGGTGAGATGAGTAATAGTATACAATACAAATGGTGTACAATACAATATTGTGCAATACAATGCATGATACAACTGCACGAAATGAACTTTTACGAAAGCAAAGAGTCCGTGCCCTACTTTTGGGGGCACCAAGGTGTCGAAAGTTGCTCCCCTTCTCTTGGGGATGAGGTTAACGCGCGTGTCTTAGAAATTCCACCCTCCAGGGTAGACCATGTCTAACTTCAGGCGAGAATGACTCACCGGAAAAGACACATGCCCTTTTATAGGCAACTCTTCCCTCGCTTGAATATTTCGTAATATTACTCTCCATCTTTACCTCGATTTCTCACTTTCCTTACACCATGATCGAAGCAAACGTTTTGTGCTCTTAGCCGCTTCTGGAAACATGTCAACAAATGCCTTCCAAAATGTATTGTTGTTGCCGGTCTACTCGGGTCTAAAATTCGGATCAAGGTTTATGACAACTTCAACAATTTTCGACCGTTTTTCAAGCCACGCTTGTGCTGACCATGTATGAACGCCTTTTCCAGCACCATCAGTCACCATAAAAGTGGGCAATTTCAAATCGTGTCGACAGGAGTTGTAGGTGTCCTCAAAGTTGATCCCATGTTTACCGTAATTTCCCAACCCAGCTAGCAGCAAGAGTGGGGTAGTAACCAAGCAGAAACCTGTGCCATCTAGACTGGTGGGTGGGAGAAACAGTCTCAGGCCGTCTTGTGAACTGTCCTCCACAGGCCGCTCTGCCATAGATTCGAGATCGTTTTCATGAAAACACCCTCGCTCTATTCCCATCGTTGATGTAGTATTCCTGAAATCACCTGCTGTTATCCACTAAAGTCGATCAGAAGATGCAAATGCTCCATCCTAACGGCCCCCGTGACACTCGGTGCGGAGAACATTTTCTTCAACAGCAAAAACATTTATTTCTTGTCGTTATTCGACAATGGTAGCAGAGCAGTACTAGTAGTGGGACCTAGATACAGTTCGCCGATTCGCAATACTTGAGATCTATACGTCCATTAGGATCACTCTCAACAGTCCAGAGTTATCAATTTGATATACAGTGTTGACATATATTGGCTTAGTAAACTACTTTTAAAAATGCGATAAACGCTAATGTGGTTGCCTCTGCATGCTCCTTGCTCTTGCATGCTTTTGCCCCTTTCTTTGCTCTCGTCGGCCATNTTCTGTGAGATCTGAAATGTATTGTTGTTGATGGAATGCAATGAAATCTGATAAACTAAACGAATAGATTTTCACATGAAAAAGATAAAGGTAATTGAAATAGAAACAGAGCAAGAAGATGTTGGCATCCAAAATATCGAGATCCTAAAATATTAGGAAATATGGAACTCTTGTACTAGAACAAAATAGCTGTGTGAGAAGTATACATTAAAGCAATGAGGGAAAGACTCATGCTTTCATGAGAATTAAGAGGAAAGAGAAGATTAACTAAACAAAACCAGTAAGCCCAAACAAAAAAAATCGAAAAATCAAATGCAAAAGAATGACGGAACATGGATAGTAGAGCGAAGAGTGCAACAAAATCTAGTTGGTAAACTAACTGGACGGGTAGTCATCGTCAAATCAGGAGGTAAGGTAAAATGAGAAGATTGAAGAAAATAGAGACAGAGCAAGAAACAGTGTGCGTCTCCTAAATTTCTCTCCAACAAGGCACCGCTCCAACGGTGGAGGGGTTGGTACAACCAGAATACGGAGATCCTTAAAGATTGTGAGGTTTGAAATACCCAAGATTAGAACAAAAGAGACATGGAAGAAAAGACAGGTAGAACAGGATTGGAAAAAAAATTGGAAAAAAACTGAAAGAAGAAGATGAAGCATGGATAATAGAGTGAAACGTTCAAAGAAACATAGATGTTAAACCAAGTAAACCGATAGCACAGTTAATGTAGCGACAAAAAGATAAGGTTGAAATAATCAGAACAGAAGAATTACACAGAAACCAACCGCGCACATCCCCTCCAGATTGCGAAATCCATAGCCCGATCGAGGTCTTGAAAAATTGCGAGACAACTAGCTGCATATGAGGATCACGTGAAGAAAATGCGCAGTTGCGAAATAGGGAATCTCGTGTCATAAAGGCTGGCCTACAGTGTCTATACACTCTAAGATAATGGCCCGTATGCACAACTCCCGGGGTAGGGGAGGGGGAGGAAGTGTTTGTTTTCGCCGTGGGTCAGATAAGTGACGCTGGAGCGCAGTATTTTACGCTCCTAAGAGAGTGTTAAATTGATATCCGAAGCTCTATTTCTCGATTAGATGAACCGGAATTTGGAGAGCGTGTGGATTGTTGCCAAGGAAAAGCACTCTACCAAAGTGGAGGGGGGTTTTACTCTGAAAACGCTCAAGGAAGTAGCAAAAGGTTAGTATGTTCTACAAAATGCATTTTTAGGGTTGTGGAAACTTAGGAACGCGCATCCAGTTATCGTGCACCTATTNGAGAGGAATAAGCGCTCAGTCGAATAATGTAGTGAATAGCAGAGTTGCGGTCTACATGACCATCGGCGCCCCAGCTCTACTCTAGGGGTAGATTCCTCCCCCGGGGAGCCAATGGGGTCGGGCTTCTCTGAGCTCTCGCTAAGGTAAGGTCGCAGAGGCAAAACATCATATGATTATCGAGGGCTGTCGATTCTTCATCTGTTTATAGGAAAAAACATCGCTCCATTGTCACTATCTTGACCCAAAACCTACCATTTGAACGTTCGCGCCCTTCGCAAACATTTCCTTCCCCTCCCCTACCCCGGGAGTTGTGCATACGGGCCAATGTGTTCCAGTGGAAATGGTCAGCAATGTCCTCGTTTGAGCGCAATGCCGCGACGCTCACTCGTAGGCCACAACTTATGACCCACTTTGATTTTCAAGATTCCCTTACACAGCTACGAATGACGTAATAAACCCAGCAACTCTTGCTTTCTGTTGTTCCCTACCAGTTCTTATAAACTGTGACCAGTTACTGTTGCTAGGCATATACGACACCCTTAAACCTTACTCATCTGTTGAGTTAAATTTGGAAGGAGCAAATTTTGACGCTCGCTCTTGCTTTGCTTCTTATCAACCCTTATCGATTGTCACTACTTGCTGTCAGCCACAGCCATCAGTGTTTTAGATTCGCTGCGTGTACCAGTTTCTAAAATGAGTGCTCTGGATATAGGAAAGAGATGTTATGAATCTTCCACCACACACCGACATCGACACCAGCACACACAGCGATTAGCACAATGTAGTATAGGCCATCATGAGGGATGCTACAATATGTTTTAAAGGGAGTGCGATATACCCACCTGACAAGATGTCTGGGTACACTCACGCGGCGCGGTTGAAGTTGTTTTGATGGCTTTCAGATCATATTCTTCGTAGACAAACTGCATCCCACGGCCAACGATCTGGTGAACATGAATGAATTTGGAATGGCATTCCCTGAACTGGGATATCGTCGGCGTCGGGTGAGAAGGGACCGAACGTCTTCGTAATCGAGGTCCACGAGCATGTCCACCTTCAGAAAATGATCCCATTCCATTCCGCAGGCCAAGCGGAGGGGAAAGCAAGGATCCCGTTCGGCTAAGTAGACACTGGCCTGGAAGAGATTTCTGGAGACGGAGCCCGAAGCTTGGGAAACCTCTCGCGACAACACGCTACCGTCGGGAATATTCCCTGCGTCTCAACGACTCGCGTTGGAAGCAATGGCTGCTCATTCTGCTGTTGCTGTGGCCAAAGGGCTATTCCTTGTCTGCGTATACACTAGGGTTGGCGTGATACTTCACACGCCAGTGTTTCTGCTAATACAACATTCGCTGTTATTCTATTGTTACTCTATTATTGGTTCCGCCGCAGTCAGCAGAATCGATCTGGCCATCGACCCACTTGATCTCCAATTCGAGTTTCTTAGTGGCGAGAAACGAAATCAAATTCTTAACGCCACCCTCTCAGGTTTACTTGTTTCTTCACTTTGAGTTAATGGAGACCCCTGTAACTACAGATGTTCGTTCTTCCCAGGCTCGGAAGTGTAAAAGGCATCGCATCGAGATCACAAGTCCTCACTTCGACGACCAACTCAAACGAGCTATCGATTTAGTGGCAAACGATCTCTCCCTGCCGTCTCACCTGAAGGCTGCTATGGGTTACTTATTTGAGATGAAACATGATATGAACGAAGTCATGGGGAAGAATGAGCAGTTGTTGGAGGAAAATAGGATTATCAAAGAAAAGAATCGTAAGTTGCTGGATGAGATAGCATCTCTAAAATTTCAGATCAGTTTGCTTAAACAGCCTCCTTCTACTGAGTTACCTCATGCGAATTCTGATAGTGTTATGACTTCTTCTTCTGTTTCCTATGATGAAATTGAGAGAAAACGTTCAGTTGTGATTGCCGGTATACAGGAAAGTGTCTCGCCTATTTCTTCTGTTAGGGTATCCTATGATTTGAGTTGTATTCGTCGCATCAACGATTTTCTTTCTATTGATTGTCATCCTATTGCTGTTTACAGAATGGGTCGTTTTACTGCCGGCAGGCCACGTCTTTTGAAGGTCGTGTTTCCTTCTTCGTTTTTTGCATCACTTCTCCTTAAAAGAGCTCCTAAACTAAGGTTCTATTCTGAGAAAGGCATTTTCATTAGAGCTTCTCTGTCTTTAGAGGAACGTGAGCGCATTCGGGCTCAAAAGAGTTCCAATCAAAGTTGTCATACTCCTTCTGTTAGCCAGGATTCCAATTTGCGTTTGCGAGGCATTGATAATCATTTGAATGATAAGCATGTAGCTGCTCCTTCTCATCCCGTACATGATTCTGCCGCTTCTGTTGTTAATGAGGGAAACATGTAAAGGATCTAAGGAATTCTGCTTCTAGTATTTCTTGTGTGGTGGCTAATGTGAGATCGATAATTGAGAACTCTGAGGCACTTACGTCACTTATAAAACAAGAGAGTCCTGATGTGAGTCACCGAGACGTGGCTTAACCCTGCCGTTGATATTTACTCGCTTATTCACGTAGATATTTCCTCATATTGTGCAGTAAGATGTGACCGCCTTTCTAAAAAAGGTGGAGGAACGGCTTTGCTCACTAGGGATTCATTCTCTCCCAGTACAGTTTTTTCGGAATCGGTTCCAAATTCTTATGAGATTTTGTGCTGCGACTTATGTATGCAGTTGCAGGTCGTGCGGTTCATATTAGTTTATAAAGCGCCGGACTGCACAGCAGCTATGTCAGAACAACTAGCTAAAGCGATAACTGACTTGGTCTCCTGTGGTTGTCCCTCTGTGATAGTTGGAGACTTTAACTTTCCTTCCATTGTTTGGAACCCTACTGGTACTGAGCAACCGGGTCGACTTCCATCTAGTGCTCGCTCCTTTCTGGAGATGTGTAGCAACTACCGGCTAAAGCAATACGTTTGCACGGGTACTCATCACGGTAAAATTTTTGATTTGGCCTTGTCGAACGATCACACACTTATTTCCGACCTGAACGTCCGGGCTCCTATAGGTTCAAGCGACCATGCGTCTATTACTTTCGCCATCAATATTCAAGTATCCAAGAAGCCAATGATTGTTAGAAGAGATTTTTCTAAGGCTAATTTTGAGGTTATTGAATGTTACTCGGCCAATGTGGACTGGTTTGGCTCTCTGAATACCGTGAATTCTGTAGACGATAAATACGAACTTTTTCTGAATATCCTTTCCCACACCATTGAATTATTCGTTCCTATTGTGCAGAAGCCCTTACCACATTCAAGTTTACCGGGTTATCTTGTCGAGTTGTTCTATAGACGAGAGTTAGCCTGGCGTAAAACACAAATCACTAACAGTCGTTCGAATGAATTGGATTTCAATCGCTTGAGTAAAAAGCTGGACAGCAAGCTAAGAAAATTCAACGCGAATGTTGAAAAGAAGTTATTGCTTCGGGGAACAAAACCTCCTTTTATAAGCTTTTGAGATCGCGATTGAGACACAAACCAAAAACTCTGGCTCTTCTCTCGCCTGAAGGAACACCAGTTTTTGACGATACTGGTAAAGCTGAGTTAATGGCATCTGCATTTCAGAAGAACTTCTCTTCCTCCCATGAGGTAGAAGAGTTCGCGACAACGTTAGTAAGGAGGTTTCCCACTATGAATGACTCTGCTTGGTTCTGCCGTGATGATATACTCAAAATGCTTCTCAGTTGGCCTCAATCGAACTCGCTCACGCCTGATTTCTTACCTTTGAGCTTCCTAAAGAAAGTTGCTCATCATATAAGCAGGCCTCTTGAGTGCTTATTTAACCTGAGCTTTATGAATGCAGAGGTTCACCATCGATGGACCCTGTCATTCATAACACCAATTCCAAAGAAACCTCCTTACAATGTGCCGCACAACTTTAGACCAGTAAGCATAACGTCCATATTTTCCAGACTTTTCGAGAAGATTCTGAAGAAACGGATATCAGAGCATTTAGAAAAGCACAGTATCATATCGGCCAGGCAACATGGTTTTCATAAAGGCAGATCAACTGTAACGGCTATGATTCAATCTCTTAATCATTGGACTAAATCCTTGGATGAAGGAAAGGCAGTGGATGTTATTTATATAGACTTTCGCAAGGCGTTCGATAAGGTACCTCATAAAAAGTTGCTGTTCAAGATGGGAGCCGTTGGTGTTCATCCGCGCATTGTTTCGTGGATAGGCTCGTTCTTGGCAAACAGGAAGTTCTCAGTTCGTATCAACTCCTCATTCTCCCTTCCCAGACGTGTTCAAAGTGGTGTCCCGCAGGGTGGGGTTCTCTCACCCATTTTGTTCAACATCTATATGCATGATCTTATGTATCTCATTGAAGGGAGCAATGTCGGAGTTTGTGCGTTCGCGGATGACCTCAAGCTTTACCATTGCATAACAAACGAAAACGATGCAAAGGAACTTCAGTCTATACTAGATATTGTTGTGCGGTGGTCAAAAGATTGGGACTTACCCCTTTCTGATGTTAAAACCAAGGTTATCCATCTCGGTGTGAAAAACAATCGGCATAGGTATTATATCAATGGAGTGCCGATAGCTGCGGTCGAACAGGTGACTGATCTAGGTTTTATTATCAGCAGTGACCTCAGCTTTGACGCTCACTGCGAAGCCATTGCCAAAAAGGCAACGGTTGTTATGTACAACTTATTTAGAGCCCTGTCAACTAAGAGTGCTTTAGTGTTACTGCGCGCTTATAAGACTTTTGTCAGGCCCTTGCTCAAGTATGGCACTCCGGTGTTCAATTCGTGTAAGGTTAAGATGATTAGGAGATTAGAGGCAGTTCAGAACAGTTTTACGAGGAAACTAATGATAAGGATATTGGGATTTATGTATGATCAAATACCTTCCAGCGAAACGAGGAACAAGAACTTTGGTCTAGCTTCATTGCAATTCAGGCGCAAGCGTAACGATTTGTTACTATTCCGCAAGATTCTTCAGGGGGAAGCAAATATGGCATCTGATGAACTTTGGAATCTCAGAAACTCTACTACAAGAGGGGGTAAGACGAAAGTTGATGTAGGCCGAGCTAGACTCAATTGTAGACGTCAATTCTTCACTCATAGAGTGACTCCCTTGTTTCGTAAGCTGTGCATGAAGCGTGTGCCTCCATTAAGATCTCACACCATGTTTAAAAAATACTTAGAGAGTTCCTTGAATCCGTGAGCTGCGTTGCTCCCAGCATACTACTTTGTTTTTTGTGTTTGCTATAATTGATTTATGCTGTCTATGTAGCATTCTGTTTTTGTTGGGTTCTTGATCTATAATTTTTCTTATGCGCACGTGTTTACCGCGTGTAATAAACATACATACATAGTCCGACGGCTAGCCGGCGGACTATGAAGCAGCCATTGCTGTGCTAAGGGGAGGACTTGAAGGGTTGAAAAGAAAGAAGAACAAGATCAAAAACCAAACAACCAGGGGCTTGTACAAATGGTTTTTGTTCTTGTCTCTTTGTTTACAGCCCTTCGAAGGGGCTGACCGACCGTATGCCTCCCTCTTCTCCCTCTAACACTGCACGTCCGCCGGCTGGCACGCTGGCCGGCCAGCCGGCGGACTATGAAAGCAGCCAAAGGCGTCGAGACGTCTCTTTACCCTTCGCAGCGTGTTTATATGGAATATTTAATCGCATTAGCTCAACTAGTTAGTGTCACTGTTGCAACGACTTTATTCATTCATTGTCCCAATAATCTACATGATTCCAGCGTATCTGCGTTTTTTTCAGTCTATATTTTTCGTAATGATGTGTTATAGTTGTACAGCGATCTCCATTGCAAATTGCCAAACGTTACCGTATTGCAGCTACGAACGATGGCTAATCCGCCTCAATCAGTTAATCCATCCCTTGCTTTGATGCCAAATAACAGGTTTCTCTTATTATCTCAGTTGATAAAGCTTACCTTCTTAATGTCTTACCTATGGTCAACTCGTGACCGGTTAAGCCGATGAATGATGTAACACCTTTATCTCCAGAGCTTCCAGAGCCTATTTTGAGCAGAAGTTTCGCAGTTCCTCTTTGCTCGGGCTTGGCTGGACTTTAATTTGGAATACATTTTCGTTGTTAAAATGTGAGGGAGTTGCATAGATAGTCAAAATTAGGCGTCAAAACCTTTTGCAAGAGTTTAATATTATACAATTTCGGTGCGAAGGCGAAAAGAGTTCATGTATTACGAACCGACACTCTGTGTTAGAAAGGGGGTACAACAGGGCGAGAACGATTCCGCGCCATGGTTTCCTGAATCGTTTCGCAGATTTGAGACGTTCAAAAACGCTCGTACATCTCATTTTGAATGGTAAGGATGCCTCAGGAGCTCCGTGTCAGCGTAAGCTGACATGCACAATCTCCAATCCACCGGCAACATCGAGCTCATAACATGCAAATTGGAGCACGAGAACTGATTGGTAAGGCCTGGATGATTTCGACAGCGCCTATGGGTAGATCGGCTTGCGATTGGAGCTAACGAAGACGATGTTCATGAGAAGCAGAGTCGTTACTGACGCCCCTTTTACACTCATAGGTACATACTATCATCTCTGGATGCTTTTACCCATGTAACTTGGAATGGTTGTAAAACTTGAAATTAAAAAGTATCCCACGAAAGGAGCGGTAAACCACGCTCTAGCTATTCTACTTTCATCTTACACATTGGAAAATGAGTAATATATTTAGTTGAAGGGAACCTATGAATCTGGATCTATCTTTATTATATCTCTATGGAACTTGTTCAAAGTTTGGCGTGTGGTCGGATGAAGGCAGAGCCAGTTATAGGTAAGAGATCATGGAGTAGTTGTGAAGCAGCTGAACGATCGAATTCCAACTCTTCATTTTCCTAAACAGTACTCGATTCATACAACTTGATCCTTCAATGTAAAAGATCACAGAAATCTTAGATCAATACGAGGTAATCAGATTAAAACTCACTGTAGGCGTAAGCACCCGTCGGGAAGTAAGCGTAGAAATTGTGTTCTTGATGGGATCGGTCGACAGGAAGGACAACCGTACTGGATTTTGTTTTACGGAGTAGTGATAAGCACTCGCGATAAACTAGAAGCGATCATAACAGCGCTCCAACAAGTTCCCTGTGCCCACAACCAATTGACTCACTTTTTGACAAATGGGAACCATTTCTTTTTTCAAAAACGAATGGCGATCTGTTGACAAGAGAGCTTCAATGACTATTTGGAAGTTGGAAATGAACGACTTAAAAAGAGAGAGTGAAAAGGTTTCTGTTTTGAAAAATGCTGATACGAAAAGAAATCCTTACCACGATGAGGTCCCGAAGTGTTTGCAGTTCTTCTGGCTTAATAATGGTGACTGAGCCATTCGTTACTTCAATGATTTTTGCCTTTTTAAGGCTGTTGAGGGCGTTACGAAATGATGTCGACTCCTCACCGGGTACATGTATGAACTCTCTTTCCATAAGCTTTTGAATTTTGCTGGAATGGGTTTTTGAAACGAACATTCACTTCTACTCTTCTCTGACGAAGTTAAAATTGGAAGGGNATCCCACATCACAAATCGAATGCATCATCTAGAATAGGAAATGATCACGATTGTAATATTAGAAGTGGTCCCATTACACCTGCATGGTCACGGGTTTCAATACCGGAACGACATCAACATTGGCTGACCAAGCCTTTCAGCCCTCTGGGGAACTAAACTGAACCTCCTGCATTATGATTTACAGAATTGGTACCAAACTCGCCTAGTAGGGGAAAAGCACTGTCTTTTACCTCGGCTTGCAACCGCACAGCATTGTATAGGTCACACCACGTTCAATACGCCACTATGATTTTGAATAGAAGCCGAATGCAGGGTGCATCATTCAGATGGGATTGATTAACGTCCAAAAACACCACTCCTCAACACAACTCTAATTCTATTTAGAAATACCGGAGAAATCGAACGCCAACCAAATAATCAAATTAACAAACTTTGCAAGCGAAATTGATGTCAACTGGCGAGCTCTAACGTAAGGTTAAGCTTTTATTCTCTGAGTGGGTGAGAACAGGGACGTGCGACGCCCGACCGCGTTCCCTCAACCCTCCTCCCACGGGTCCAGTATCTTTCCCCCGAAAACGGCGTCGCGCACGCCGCCCTGTCGCGTATCGCAGGATTGCGGTGGAAGATTGGAGCGCGCAATTCGTGATGTAGAGTCCTTTAATTATTTGAATTGGCTCTCCACTCCCTTCAATTCCAATGCNAAGTCTAATAAACATAAAAACGAAGAAAAACAGAATAAAAACGATCAAAACTAATAAAAAAGAAAGGCCACCAACGAAAAATACTCCGTCCAATGGATTGGCGGGGAGGCGGGATGAGTACGGTAATCGCAATAAGATTTGCCGCATGCCGCAAAGCGAATGTCCGCAACCGGGGAAAAGTTCCGTTACCCTCCATCCACTAAGCGTTCAAAGCATTTTGGGTGGAACAAAGTGTAACGGTGTTTTACTGCCTTTAGCCGTTCTCGCTCCACAGGCTTCTAACATTGAGATTGGAGAGCTTGAAGAAATTGCACATATCCAACGGATTAGGCTTTACCGTATTAGAGTATGTGGCGAGAAGCAAGCGGCCAATTGACAACTCCATGATGGCACGTTCTACGTTTCCAGGTTCCAGAACTGGAAATTCGACCAACTTCATGTGAAAGTCTTCTAGAGCTCTATCCTTACAGAGGAACATGCTTGCGTGCAGTTCCATGTAGTACCTGCAATAACTGATAAGCTTACAACTGGTACGGGGACACGCTTAAAAAAATCATTTCATTCCTCACATCCACACCAAAATTGTGTGACATCACTACCTCAGATCCTCGTCAACGCTTTGATCGATATGTACGGTAACACCAAGGCTTTCCACTAATCGTAGTAGATCCAACACATCGGAGAGGATTTGTTGGTAATTAAACACGTCAACAGGGCCGACGGCCAGGCGCTGAAACCAAAAGGTTACAATGGTTTATTGGAAAGATGGATTTGAGATAAGTAAATGATTTTTGGAGCGCACAGTTTCATAGACGAGAGTTGACGATAAAAGTTGCATGGAAACGATATTCGGACGAGCTGTCCAAATGTGTGTGCTCTTGCGTACAGCTGACTACAGCAAGTTTTCTGCGTACAACGTATGCGTCTAGGTGTGAATGGTGCAACCTCTACGGCTCTTACGTGCCGTGGGGATCTCCTTTCTTGGGTTGTATCCGTCGGCTAAGCCTGTTTCGGTGCCCTTATTGCGCCCTATATAGTCGTCTTTCTGCCCGACATGCTCGGTCGCAATGGCCATTAATAATGAGATGTATAACCTTATAGGGGGTTTTTGGGCATTAATGAAAAATCTACGCTACATCTCCTCGAAATGTCTTTACCGATGCACTCATTGTCAGATGCCTTTAACCGAGTGGACTAGAGCGCAAGCCTATTGACCAGGGCAAGATGCTACATCTAGCGGCCACTGTACCTACTCTTGAGAGACGGGCAGTAGGGACGGTTTTCTGTAATCGATTCGCCGTACGCGGTTGTCTCGGACTATTCCTTCGCCGTTATTACAGCACTAGCGTTCTTCATACAGCTCAATCGATGGGCGATCCTTATTGTAGGCATGATTCTACTATTAGTTCCTTTATTCCTGTAGTTCTTACCTGCTGCTGCGTTGTGCTATATTCCTTTGCGCGCGGCGTCCCTCTTGCCGCGACGCGGCAATTTCGTTCCTACTGCACCACACCCCCTACACGTTAAAGCTTGTCATGACAGTTCTGGTCGTGATGATCATGAAATTTTTTAATGTGACCTCCACTTTTTTCGTTGAGGGCTATTTAGATTACCTGAGATAAGGTAGCACACGCCAAAGACCATACAGTAATCACAGCGTTTCGATCGAGTGCTTCAACTACGATGTGAGCGAATTTTTTGATTTGATTGCGTTGCACTTCAGACAGAACAAACTGTGAGTCTGGCTGAAATTTTGTGAAATCGTGAACTAATTGAAACGGGTATGGGTACTTACGTGCGTCCGAGGATGCGCGCGGCAAATTGCGCGGGGAAGTGCGTGGTGATTTGAACGTCCCTGGCGCCTATCATTGGGGCTCAAACTCGAAGTAGAGTAGTTTAGTAGGGTCAGCTGATGCTACTGATCTACTCTACCTCAAATTTGGGCCCCTT